CCCCCCAGGTCAGAGACTCTTCAGCTCTATGTACAATATATAGAAAAAAACCCAGCCTTCATTCTTAACTGAATCTCCTTGTTAAGTCTGATATTTGTGAACAAAAGGTAGCATGAGATAGTTTTGTTTTGTCCTTGAGCAATTTCTTTTTAAGCCAGAACAATCATTCTGAATGTGTTCTGGGTTTTGTTTTCTTTTTTTTTTCCTTTGAGCTCTTGCCTGTGCACTTTCCTCAAACAAATTTTATACTGAAGCTAAACCAAGATAGTATCTTGTCTGAGCATCAAATGGTATTTACATGGAAATATTCTTTGTACCAGAAAATAGAGACTGGCACATTTTAGGTGGCTCAAAATGACATAAATCCATCAATCTTGTTGTGCCACTTAATTCCAGCTGAGGCCTTGGATTGTTATTTGTTTAAGTTTGGACCATTTACCATCTTATTTAAGTGCATCACAGTTTGCTAAGAAATAGCATAGCTGTGGTCTGTGAAAATGGCTGTTGGTCAGTTTTCATGTATTGGGACAAGACAGAGACCATATTTCCTCGGAGATCCTCACTCTTGGATACTTTTGCATATGTTATATAATAAATATTACAGGCATGGATTATGAGATGATGAAGGTATTCTCTACTGCTACGCAATAAAAACATAACTGTACTGAGTTTTCTTTTTGGTGTTGCTCAGGTAGCCTGACCCCTTGCCTTTATAAATTCCCGGAGCATGCCCTGAGCGCCAGCTCCTGTGCCCTGGGCCATGGCTTCACGCCCATGCACCAGTCCCTCCTCACAGACGATCCCGCTGCCACAGACTTCAAGCAGGAGTTCCGCAGAAAAAGCAAGTCTGCTGAGGAGCCTGTCGACATGGACTCCCCTGAAATCAGGGAACTGGAGAAATTTGCTAACGAATTTAAGCTGCGGAGAATTAAGCTGGGTACGTGCTTTATGTCCATGAACAAAAGGCTGAAAAATTCCAGTGAAAGTCCAATTACTTCCAAATGTTTTATTGTCTAGCCTCTGCAGTTGTCTAATCATAACTCTAATCCTGCCTTGCACTGCCAAACTTTCTCCATTTCTAGAAGACTTGCACAGAATTAATGAACTTCAGCTTTTTGCGACTTAGTACAGAAGAAGTGACTTTAAATTTTCCTGCCCTTAAATTATTTGTCTTAAGTACAGAGAGAATTATTGCTGTTCATTAAATTATGTTCAGTAGCAGGTGTGTTATTTTGCACAGCCCCAAATTTTCTGCAACTTAGGACAGCGCATGCTCTAACCTCTCATATCGATCATCTTCCCCATGAAGTGTTTCATCTGATGGTGCAATGTGATTTCAGTATACAAGACAGGTGACATCCATGGCAAATCTTTCATACCAGAAAGAAGCTTCTCTTTCTGGTTTATTTTCTTGTGCCAAGGCATAGGTACAGCAGCTACTGATATCTTTGTTGCTGTCTGATAACTACTGGGGCTGATGCGAGATGGATTGCATTAGAGGGTCTCCAGTGAGGTGCTTGTCTTTCACTGGACAACCTTAGCTGAGGGTGAAGGTGGACTGAGCCCTGTCTTTCTCACCTGTAGGGGATAGAGGTACATTGCAAAGTAAAAACTTGTCTCACCCTTGTTTGAACTGTACTGAAAAAAAATAACATCCAGCACTGCAGATTCAGCCCACTTATAAATACTGGGTACTCTGAAGAGTTGCAATTTTGACATTATTGCTTATAACATTACATTGTATTGTTACAAAATAGGGCATCCTTCTGGCTTTATAAATACAAGAAAATTATAAGGTTATTACAGGTATCTATGCGTTATCTCAACAGCTAGAAAGTTAACGTGTTCCATTTGCAGTGTAAAAATAAGGACTGAAAAAAAAATTAGGGCTTAAAATAGTATTTGCAACTTGGTCAGTTTTGCTGTATAACATGTATTTAATGTCAGCCACAGCAATGGAAAGGTTTGCTAGGCCCCACGCTGTTAATCACTGTAATTATTACTGCATCTTCAGCCTGAATTTGTGAGGGAACAAAGCTTCCTCTTACAGGCTCTGTGTCATTTGTTTGCATCAGACTGGGCTTAATGCTCTGATGGGAAAAATGCAATTTGCACAGGAAAAAGAATCTGAGGTTGAGCTTTACAAGGGAAGACAGAGTTAATATGGGCTGTGGGTCTGAGACAGAGACACAGAGTTAATGCAATCAAAATGGTGGTAAAAAGCTGCCTCGTGAGACATTCAGCATCTAAAGAGATCCTGCCTGTTCCCGTGCAGAGACAGAAAGGGAGGATGATGAGCCAGACCCCTGAACATGGCAGGTATACATTCAGGACACTGAATGGGAAGCTTCTGTTACAAAGTCAGTGTCCGCATGGAAACTGCAGAATTTCTCCGATTGCTTAGTTGTTGCAACAAATAACAGGAGACCAGAGGTGCCACCAGGGATTAGCTTATTGCCATTGCACCATCTGTAGAAAGAGAGATATACGCTGTCTGGATCCTTCTCAAATCCCTAATCTCGGAGTGCAATACTCCATTAAATCAGTGTAAAACTCCACTGAAACCAACAGGAGAGTGAACGTGTCTCTGAGGTGAGCTCAGAGTCACCCACAGAGAGCTCTGCAGAAAGCCCGTCCAGAAGATACTGCAGGCATACACTGTTCGTAAGTCAGCAGTGAAGAGCTAAGTGTCTCAAGGAAAGTAACCCTTTCTAGAAAGCTCCAAAGTTACTTTTTTCTCTTTGTTTTTGACAGGTTATACACAAACCAATGTTGGGGAAGCACTGGCTGCTGTGCACGGCTCTGAATTCAGCCAAACTACTATTTGCCGGTTTGAAAACTTGCAGCTGAGTTTCAAGAATGCATGCAAACTGAAATCGATACTGTCCAAGTGGCTGCAGGAAGCAGAACAAGTAGGAGGTAAAGAATTGAAATCCTCTAAATATTGATTTGCATTTAAACCAAGTATCCTGTAAATATGTTGAAGGACTAGTATGTGTCTTCCATAGACTAAAGTTTTTGTTTTATGAGCTTTAAGTGCTAAGGTGTGCTTATATTAAATTTTGGTTATCTTTTTTGGGTGACCAAGGAGGAGCAAACTGAAATGTATGGAGGGTACAAAATAGCAGAAACATTGCTTGGCCTACTAGAAGAAATTTCTTTCAGTCCCACCACAGCAAACTAGCTCCATTCCTGTCGCATAGGTCAGAGTTGCTATTAGGATCTGCAGGACAGCCTGTTTAGCAGCGTACAGGGATTCTTCATGAGCAAAGGACTCTTCCATCCAACCTCTGGCATATGAGATGTGGCCATGGGGGAAAGGATTTGAGTTCAGCTGAGGCAGTGGTCTTTAAACCCTGAAGAAGAATAGCATGGCATAGAGGTTTTTGATGTGACCTTTTTGCTGCTAGAGGATTCCTGGATTCCTTTCCTTTTGCCCAGTTACTTTTCAGTGGCAGGAAGAGTCATGGGGTTCACTGGGCAAAGTGTACTTTAGAACAGGTTGGTTGATTTAAAGGAAATGGGTTGCCTTAAAGAACAGCCTTTTCAGCTGGATGAATTGCGATGCTGGGAAGCAGTATGTCTGGAGGTGACAGCGAAAGCCAACACTACCACTGTGCAGCACTCACCTGGCATGGGAAGAAAGAGAAGATGATCTTAATGCTCCTTTTTGGATTTGCCATTGTATTCAACAGTAGGAAATGCTGTTAAACAGCTGCTTCCTCCACACACTTCAGTTTCCTTTGAACCAAATGTAGAAAGCTTCCTTCCCCTGTAACTGCACTAGAAACCAGAGGCTCTCTTAATGTGGCTGGCACATTGCGATAATCGCTTGTGAGGGGTTGTGGTGGGTAGTAGCTGCTGACCGCCTGAGCAGCGTTACAGGCTTGAGCGGCAGGGTAAGATCATGCGTGCAGGGAGAGGCCTCTGGGAAGCAAGGGGGGACTTGTCCATCAGAAAGTGGGGTGGAAGAGGCAGATGAAGAAATGGGGTTGGGGGCCAAGGCTGTATTTCTGAAGAAAGAGGGCGAGGTAGCGAAGGGGTATAGAAATGGGCTCTGTCTCCCTAGACTGTACCCTGGAGGGTAGGAGGGAGAAAGTATGCCAAAGGAGGGAGCTGAAATATGGCTCCACAGGCACAGAGCCAGCACCATTTGCAGCTTTACCAGTGGCACACCATTTTTGCTTATAACCATTTAAAACAGGTAAAACAATGACCAAGCACCTTAAAGAAAGAAGTGCTCCTCTCTGTGGTATTGCTCTTATTCAGCGGCATTATCTGTTATGCTTTCTTCTGTCTTCAAAGAAAGGGACTTTTTTTCTGAAGATGATTGTGCTTGTTTCATTCTCTGTGGAAGGTAACTGCCAGGTTTTGTTTTGTTTTTAATACAGCTTTATACAATGAAAAAGTTGGAGTGAATGAGCGGAAGAGGAAGCGCAGAACCACCATTAGGTAATAAATACTTAGGGCCTTACATGTTAGAAACCACTTTGGCTAAGATGCTTCTTTTACTTGGGTTCAAAATCAAAGTGCTATTCGCTATTAATGAATCTCTATAGCTAGTGCTTCAAAATGTTCACTATTTTGAAACATTCCAGGGGAAAATAACAGCATAATCCTCCAAAAGCCCAATTTGCTCCAAATACACTACTTTCCCAATTAAAGACTTTTTTCAACATATGACAACACACTTTAATATGAAAAAAAATGTTTTATTCCAATTCTGCCCAAAATTTATAATATCTATATTATAGTGAATATAGTGAATAAGGTATCAGAACACCCTTGTTTTCATTTTGGGAGGTTCTACACTATACCAAAATAAATTGCATTATTTTGCCAGAGAATTGAAGTCTGGGAAGTTTGAGAGCAAGCTTTTACAAACAACATGACATCCCTGTCCCTATCCTCTGCCACTGGATTCTTTGGAGTTCCCAAAGAAACTCTTTAATGAGCAAAAGGGGAAAAAAAGGGAATTATTTGGGGAACCTCCTTCTCCTGTTTCTCACATCTCTGGTGGCCAACATCTACCATCTATCTAGCCTCAACTCCATATGGAAATCAAGTAAGCTGGTAAATCATATTACAAAAACAATTACCGAATAGGCAAAATGAGGACATGGAATATTTCCTTCTCCTTTAGATATCCCAGAGTCTTATAACCTTTGGTGAAGAAGAATTCATTCAGGGGGGCCTCCAAGGAGCTGTAGTATTCTTCTACAGGAAGGGAATTTGGCTGCCTCTGGGCACAACTCTGGTGCTGTTGGGCCCTACCTGTTACAGTGAAGCGCCTGTTCTTTCAACAGGGATCATTCCCAAAGTGCGGTGCCACCTCCCAGAGATGTAGGCTGCTCTGTTGTCCCACAGCCACAACATGTACCTTCTCCTCTCATATTCCACTTGAGATTTTTTTTGAGTCATAGAATCATAGAATAGTTTTGGTTGGAAGGGACCTTTAAAAGTCATCTTGTCCAACCTCCCTGCAATGAGCAGGAACAACTTCAACTAGATCAGGTTGCTCAGAGCCCTGTCCAACCTGACCTTGAATGTTTCCAGGGGTGAGGCTTCTACCACCTCTCTGGGCAACCTGTTCTAGTGTTTCACCACCCTCATGATAAAACATTTCTTCCTTATATTCAGTCTAAATCTACACTCTTTTAGTTTAAAACCATTACCCCTTGTCCTATTGCAACAGGCCCTACTAAAAAGTTTGTCCACACCTTTCTTATAGGCCCCTTTAAGTACTGAAAGGCTGCAATAAGGTCTCCCCAGAGCGTTCTCTTCTCCAGGCTCAATAACCCCAACTCTCTCAGCCTTTCTTCACAACAGACATGTTCCATTCTTCTGATCATTCTTGTGGCCCTCCTCTGGACCTGCTCCAACAGGTCCATGTCTTTCCTGTGCTGAGGGCCCCAGAGCTGGACGCAGTACTCCAGGTGAGGTCTCACCAGAGTGGAGTAGAGGGAGAGAATCACCTCCCTCGACCTGCTGGCCACGCTGCTTTTGATGCAGCCCAGGATACAGTTGGCCTTCTGGGCTGCGAGCACACACTGCCAGCTTGTGTCCAGGATGATCTCCATCTGGACATTGAGCCATTGACAGCTACCCACTGGATACGACCATCCAGCCAATTCCTCCTCCACCAAACAGTCCACCCATCAAATCCGTATCTCCCCAATTTAGAGAGAAGGATGTTGTGGGGGACAATGTCAAAGGCCTTACAGAAGTCCAGACAGACAACATCCTGGCTCTTCCCTTGCCCACTGATGTTGTCACTCCATCATAGAAAGCCACTTGGTGAATCTGTGCTGGCTGTCTCGAATCACCTCCCTGTCCTCCATGTGCTTGAGCATAGCTTCTAGGAGGATCTGTTCCATGATCTTCCCAGGCACAGAGGTGAGGCTGACAGGTCGGTAGTTCCCAGGGTCTTCCTTTCTACCATTTTTAAAAATGGGTGCAATGTTTCCCTTTTTCCAGTCACCAGGGACTTCATCTGACTGCCATGACTTTTCAAATATCATGGAGAGGCTTTTCAAATACCATGGAGAGTGGCTTGGCAACTGCATCAGCCAATTCTCTCAGGACTCTGGGATGCATCTCATCAGTCATATTACCTTTGATATAAAGAATAAAATGAAGATGTGATTTCTCTCTGACTTTTGAATTAAGTATTCCTCTGAGGGGATGCTTCTCAGTTAGGAGTGACTTTGGGATGGCAGATGCTTCATAGCTCATTTGCTCATCACAGCACCTCACAAGGGATGAAGCTTTACTCTTGGGAGGTCAGTTTCTCCTCTCACCTTCTCTACAAGCTAGTAAGAACTTGAGTGGCAGTGCCAAGATCTTGCCCAGTTTATGCCTGCATGAGAGCTCTGACTTGAGACCATCTCTGTCCCAGGGCTTTTCCCCTGGTTAGGAACACACTGAAGACTGTTCATCTAACATTGTGGGGTTTGGTGTTGTTTTTTAACAACTATTGAGAAAATCAGTCCTCATATTAAGCATTTTTTAATTACTCCTGCTTTTTCATATAACGCCACTGCACTGGGAGTATCAAACATGGCAGGTTGTCAAGGGCACAGATAATTGAGGGAAAGTTCAGGACCAAATCCCATATCGTAAGAAAATATTAATTGTTCCTTTGAAGGCATATAGGACCTCAGTTTGAAGACCTGAAACAATTCAGGGAGACGCACTTTATCTGAACTGCAGCCATACTTTTAGCAATTCTTAATGGATGCTTGAAGGCAAACTAGAGGTAAAGCAAAAGTCCCACAAACTAAATTATGTTAGTCATACCCTGAGAAAAAACTAATTAATTTGAATTTGTGGAAGTTATTTTTATTTTATACTTTGATCAAAGCCTGGGAAGCTATTAGTGAAAGATAATGATGTTTCTATACTTCTGTGTGTGCAGAACACCATGCTGTTAATTAGGTAGTTTTGGTAACATTAGTAAATATTGCAAAATTGACCTGTAAATGAAAGAGCAACAACATATTACAGATGAAGTAATGAAATAACTAGAACTCCAGCAGATACTTTGTATAGTTCTGTAACACAAATACCTGCACCTCATTTCCAGAATAATGCATGAAGTGCCCTCTTGTGTCCAAAGAAATTACAGCTAATGCTAAAGCTAATTCTGGAAGCGTCCTGGTAGCACAAAAGCATGTTGCAGATACTCCGTGTTTTCTGAGAATATGTAACACAAATGGGAAGCAAATTCTATCTGACAATAAGAAAAGATAGTAGTCTTAAATTATTTTGTTTATTGAACCACTCAAATTTGGTCACTGCTGACTCTGAAGAATAGATTAAGGCAGACTTTTAGAAAATGTGGTGATTGCTAAAACAGCTTGCCATTATCCCTGTGATTTCTAGAAATACTCTAGTGCCCTCTCTGTAACAAAATGAGATGCAGAAATTGATACAACATACAACATTTCCCAAATTACAAGTGATGGAGCTCTTCCCCTTTGTAAATCCAAATGATTTGATACAACCAGATAGCCCCAGTAATGTGCATTTGCTGAACCCCTACGACACTGCTGTGACTGGGGTAAAATGGATGGTGATTCCATTCATGTCTAGTTAGCTGTATCTCTTAGAGAACATCAAGAAGCATAAATATTTCATGATTACCACTGAAATTGCACCAAACTTGATGCTAGTTTTGCCTTTAAATTACTCCATGCTGAAATTCTGCATGATGTGATGCTGTTCATGTCAGCAAAGAACTACAGTGTACTTTAAGCTCTGCGAGTTTCTTTTATGTAGAAAAACAGGAAAACAAACCAAGTCACTGCCTTCAGTGGTCTTACTTGACCCTTCTCCTGATCTAGTGGTGAAAGCCTGAATGTGTCAGGAAAGTTTTTAAATGTGAAATTTTATCCCTTTACCCAGTATCGCTGCCAAAGAAGCCCTAGAGAGGCACTTTGGAGAACAAAGTAAGCCTTCTTCTCAGGAAATTATGAGGATGGCTGAGGGGCTCAATCTTGAGAAAGAAGTTGTAAGAGTTTGGTTTTGCAACAGAAGACAAAGGGAAAAAAGAGTGAAGACAAGTTTACATCAGAACGCCTTTAGTTCTATTATCAAGGAGCATCATGAATGCCGGTAAAGCTTTTCCATGTATAGATGTGGATATCTCTTGCTTTTTGTAAATATTGTAAATTGTTTAAAAAAAAAAAAAAAAAAAAAAAAAATTGGTAAGCCACTTGTTCTCTTACAAACTAGCCAGCTTCAGATGTAGTGTGTTGTGGAAGACCCCATTTTAATGTAAAAGGTTGGAAACAAATTACATGCTAGTTATACTTAAAGAGTTGGAGGCCTTTGCTTAATTGCAAGGAACCTATTATGCATTATTCAACCAGAAATGCTTTCCAAGTTGCCCAAGGACTTGCAGTTTCCCTGTGCTGTGCCTTTCTTGCATCTGCGCTACATTTAATGATTAATGGCGAACCCCACGTAGGTGCCCTAAGCATCAGGAAACAAAGCCTTTGCATTGTATGTGAAAAAAGGTTACAAAGCTTGGTAGCAGCAGCTATAGTATTGAAAGTATCTTGAGTCTGCATGTCTGTGCATGTGCTTTATGCCTGTCATCACCCCCACCCCCGCTAACTGCGCTAACCTGTGTGATATTGTAAGCCATTAGGCACATGGCAGGGTACCGTCTCCAGCGGTGAACGCTGAGCGTCAGCGAGAAATTAGAACTTCAAAGAAGAGAAGGTGAATAAATGACGTTAAACAAGCAGTGGTGACACTGCTGAATACCTAGTTATGGCCAAGGATGGAATACACCCATGGGATCTTGTGGGACTGCCACTAGATCTGAGCGCCAGGTAGAACACCAGCTGAAGACCTGCTGTTCCAAGGGACGGCTCAAACACAGCTGCCCACTCACAACAGCTGTACACCTCTGAATAATTTCAGGTAAATTCCTTGTGTAAGTTCAGGACAAAGCCATTAGAAATGTGCCATAATTGCTGTCATTATTTACTTTAGATGAAGCTTTTAGAGTAAGCTTACCAGTACGGAGGTGTCAACACTCTTCCTACTCTGTCTCCGCATACCACTTGACTGCCTTAAATGGGTGCCAAGTAGAAATGACTTTTTTTTATACTTGTTATCAAAGGTAATTCTTGCTAATTTATTATATGCCTTAAAGTTTAATTTGGATACGCTTAGCTATAAAAATTGGGATACCATTTACCTTAAGATTTTGTGACTTGAGGGGGGAAAAAAAATAGAGAATTACCAGGGTTTTTATTACTTTGGGCTTTCTCTGCATTGTATTTTTTTCTGATTAAATCCATGTGTGGACATACTACACCAGAGATAGTGTGTTAAGCTAAAAAAAGAAGGCCCTTGCGCTCTCAAATAAGTATCCAAATGAAGCATTTATTGCACTGCACATTCCCACTCTCTTACACCCCACTAATTGAAAATAATCCCTTAATTGTCATCCTCTAGCCTAGAGAGATAATCGAGGGGAAAAAAACCCAGTGCCAGAGCTCCACCAATCAGAAAGCCAGGCACTGAGAAACTGAATTAATGACTGTAGTACTCACCAGGGATAGATTATCCAGCCATCTCATCAGCCCTGTTCATTGTTATTAGAATAGCCCATTACCATATATGTATTTTTTACTGTATTCCCAGGACTGAAATTAATTGAGTACACACAAGTAGTAATGGCCAGATACATTTTATTTTTCCATAAAACAGACCTGATGATTTAGAAAATGACTAGATAATAGGCCCACAGAAAGCAAAAGAAGGTTAATGTTCAAGACCACTTAGAAGCAGTGTGTACAAGTTAAGTGCGCTCTCTCTCTCTAGTGTACATTACATTATCTCCAATACCTATTATGGTGACCATAGGCATACTCAGCTATGGAAATGTGGCTCCTAGATTTTAAAAAATACATTTTTACAGATGAATGTATTTGTTACAACCCCTTAATTTAGAAGAAACCTTCAATTTAATAACTCAAAGAGGAGAAACTCTGCTATTTACTCTCTTCAGGTTGTTCTCACTAGCCTAGCTTACCCACTACAGCAGAGAATGACCAAGCCTTAGCCTTTATCCACCACATGTGTATCAGCAGATCATGAGCTGTCCAAAAGGATGAAAGATAAATACAGTTGAGAAGATTAGCACTCAATAAAGGTGGTGGCATGCATTTGCGTACCTTTGATGTTATGTGATTGAATGTTATTTACATTGAAACTATCTCATATACATAAAAATTATTTATATTCTAAGTTATTTTCTTAATTATAAAAGGCTTCCTAGAAATGCTATAAGCCTGTACTTCCCAAACCCCCCATCTAATAAAGTATTCTTATACATTTGGTATTCCAGGTAATGGTTTGTAGTTCTGTTTTGGTAACACTTTACTTCTTTTGGTTGTGTATAATGCTGATGTGCTTGTTCATTTTAGCATGCTGTAACAGTTAATTCAAGAGCAGACTTACCGTAACATTGTGATTTCTAGTCTTACAAAAAAAGTCCCACAACTAAAGGCTAATTGCAGAAGCATAGCGAAATAAAATGAAAGGTGACATATAATGCCATTTTCTTGCAGAAGAATGACAAAAGGCTAAATGGAGGAAGCAGCCATTATTTAAACACATCTAGCTGTTGCCACAGAAGTTACTAACAAATTAGAGCAGAATTATTTAAAGAAAAAAACCTGGATGAAATCAATTTAATGTGCTGCAGCTGCAGCCATTAGGCTTAGATAAAGTGGCAGTTCATTTTTTTTTTTCTTTAGGAACAACTTACTAGGTAATTGCCGTCAATCACTCTTGATTGGAGGAAAAAACCCTAGATAAGACTTCTGAAGGGGCAACTTTATAAACCTGCAAGTAAGAGTTTAGTTGGCTATTTGACTAACATGGGCTGCACAGTTTTTCTTTGAGGTGTTTGTGGCATTTGTTTTCTTGCTCTTACTTTTCCTATGGTAACTTTAGTTAGGGTGCTAAAACTAGAATAGAGAATAAAACAAGACATTATGACAATATGTAAATCTGTAGTTCACCTGTCTCTGAACTACTGTGTAGCATTCTGTCCCCTTCATCTGAAGGATACAACAGGCCTAGAAAAGGCCCCTATACAGGCAAAGCTGATCATTAAAGGTAAGATGAGTAACTGTTTAAACTACTGTCTCTCTTCTAGATTTAATGCGTGTGCATTGAATGCTATAGAGGTCTACTGAATTATGAGCTGTATTGAAATGCTGGATGGAGGCAGGCTGTTCACCATCTTGCCTAATATAAGAACTAGGAGTGTGCAAAGCCAGAAAGAAGCTTAAGGAAAAAACAAAAGTAGTGGTTCTTAATGTGGTGGGGAGTAGATCTGTGGAACTCCTCTACTAAAAAATGTGGGTGCCAGAAGTTTATTTATACGGACAAGTTCACAGATAGAAAGCCACTCAAAGCTGTTGTTTACAGAGGAACTTACATACAGCTCTGGAAGTGCTCTAAATTGAAAATAGTTAGAGGCTGGAAGAGTATTAGGGGAGGAAGTGTCATCTACATTTATCTTGTTCTCATGTTTTCCTGGGACTTGCTTATGGGGTAGGATTCTGGGTGAGACAGACTCCCGTCTGCCCCAACAGAACCATTCTTCAGTGCATGCACAATTGCATTGTTGTTCTTGGATGGAGGACTTTCAGATTCAGTTGCTATTAAGGTGTCAGCAAGGATAAAGGAGTTTAAGGATTGAGTGGGTTTTTTTTAGTCTGCTAAGAGTGATTTAAAAGGAATTTGTTTCTAAGTAGGGGATGCAATTTTGTTGTGACAGCTACTACATACTAACTATAATTGAAATAAATATAAGCAAGCCTGCAAACCTACACCACTTCTCACTCTGCTATTAGAAGATTTTTATACAGATTAGAGCTGCAGGACTTAAAAGATAACTGTTAACAGAAAGACTGGACAGATGTTGACAGTGGGCCTAGTTCAGCAGTCTTACTGACAGCAAAAAGCAATGCCTTTATTACGGTTTGTTGAAGACCCCATAGATAAAGAACTCATAAAATAGAATTATGCCCAATTTTGACAGTCATTAAAAGGATAAAGTGAACACTTCATTCAGAAAGGCCACAAGCCTTGGTGTTCAACCAAAATACAATCGATCGGTAACATTTTATACCTAACTAATTTCATATTATGGTTTCTCCTTCAATGCCTAAGAGCAGTACTTGGACACCCAGCTACAGACAGAAGGGAATGCAAACTTCATCAAGTCTTTACTGAATGTTGAGTTTAAGTCAAAGGCCCACAAGCAACTACAACAAATACTATGTTGCTTTATCGCTCAGGTCAAAGGAAAATTTATCAGAGCTAACAGGATTCCAAAGAAAGCCCACTAAGAGACAGTTGTGTAAGACGAACCCTACAGACAACAAAGTCATTGTGCAGTAAAAAGCCTTTTATTAGATTTTTACAAAATAACCTGTAAAAAAAGAAAAAAAAAAGAATAGTCACCTTATATCAGATATATGCAATATATAAACTTACACATTCCTACCCACTACCTCACAGATTCATAGTTTGTCCACTACCTCCTTCAAAGAGAAAGAACACCTCCATTCCTATGCCAAAAACCAGATGAAGATTCACCCGTTTTTTCTTTCTCTGCTGACTTCAATCCTAAAAAGTAGATGGTGTGACAACAGTAGATTCATAGAGGTTACGGTTTCCTGCTACACCTTCTCCAGCAGCAAAGTCTCTTTATGAAGTTTGTCCCCCCATGCTCATCCTGGTCTCACTGTTGGGAGGTATTTTGCTTTTCTCTTTTTAAAGCCAAGATGATTTTGTTGTTTTTGTTCAATTAACAGCCCTACTAAATCAGCACAACTGAGGGTCAAATAATCTCCAGCAGAGTAAGGGCTGAGGAACTTCACACCATCTGGGAAGTCATAACTGGGAACTGCATTCTCAGACTTTGTCATCTATTGGAACTATCAACAGTTCTTATTTTGTTAGCCCAGTGCATTCCACCTAAAGCTAGCATCATGCTGATGCAGTTCAGAGACCATAGAAAAACCTTCACAGAATCAGAACACTTTTATTATAGTGTTTAGACAAGTAATCATCATGTATCATTCAAAATTGTTCTCAAAACTAAAATTTAGATTTAGCTTATCAATGTGATCAATTGCATCTTAGTAAACAATACAATTATGCACAGTTATCTTCCATTAAGAAATACTTAAAATATATACAAGTATTGTTTCAGGCAAGTGTCCTTTTTGCAAGTGAGCAAGTTGCATTTCTGAACAAGTGCATTTCTGAACTTCAGCACTGAGTCCCATCAAGTGTACACAGAGCTCTCACCATAGTGTTCTGTGAAACCTATCTTAATTACAGTTTACTCACCTTTCAAAGACTCATTCTGAAAAAAACTGCAAAGGTACAAGATTTATATACATAAAGGCACAGCAATTTTGTTGAAACCAGCTATGTTACAGTACAATAGAGTTCAATCAGTGCCTTTCATGCAAAAAAAGTTCACTAACAAATTTAAATCCTCTTCCATTAAAATCAACTGCACAAGGACTGTATCCTTCCCTTTCAGTAAAAAGAAAAACCAGCTATTATTTAATCAACTCAGAAGTTACTACAGGAACTTGAAACAAATACATAAAATACTTTTTCTTTCTGCCTAAATTTGCTAGACTTTCAAGCCTATTTCTCATCAAAAGAAAATAGTTTCCAACTAAGAGCAAAGGTGGTTTCATTTGTGCTAAGATGACAGACTAAGAATTTTTCTATAGCAATTGTTTTATAAAAATGGTATTATTATATAGGTGCTGTCCTAGGAGGCATCACCATCAGCCATGGAACAGCCGCTTCTAAAGGTAGATAAGGAACTGAGATAGAAGAAAACTTTGAATTCAGAGGACAGATTCAGATCAGGGATAAATGAATTTATCATTAGAACTACATCCCTGGTTGGTCAAAAAGACTCCATGCAATGGACACATCAAGTGTACATCTCCCCGTAAATTGATTCAAAATATTCTCCCCTTCTCCTTCCACCAGTACTAACTTCAAGTTATCATTTCTGAAGCTTCAGAGTTTTCCTAGATATCAGTTGCATTGAAAGAGTATTTGCACTTTTTTACATGTCTGCAGCTGAAGGCAGACTGTATATTGCTATCAAGCTAATCAACTCCCAAAGCTTTGAGCTGTCGTTCAATCTCTTCATCTGATATGGTAGCAGCTTTTGATGTTGATGCAGATGGTAAGCCTCTGGCAGCTGACGGAGCTTTGGCCATCTAGAAGATGACAGAAGTTTTCTTCAGTTAAAATAATACATGTTATGACAAGCTGACTTCTAGAACAGGACTGTAAAATAAAGGCTGCTAGAATAAACAATTTAAAAAAGGGAATGAAGGGGAAGAAGCACATGAACTAGGTAAAAATAGCTATACCTTTCCAGAGATTTCAATTCCTATCTCATCAAGGACTTGGTTAACAATATCCTGGCTTTCTTCCTCTTCATCAGAAGCATCAAAAATATCATCCAGAGTATCATTAACTTAGAAGAAAGGAAAAAAAAAATAAAATCCACACCACATTAAGCAAAGATTTCTGAAGTAACTTAGTACCATCTTTCTACCCTCCCAGAATGTAGTAGTAATACCAATGTATAAGATACCAACAGAAAGCAGCTGTATATCGGAGAGGCTTTCCTACCTCTGCCTTACAAAGCCTGCGAGCACAGCTAGCGCAACATGGTAAGGCACGACTGCTTTCATAAAAATGTTTGGTTTCACCAACATAGTTCAGTTGCTCTATTTCCCCCCCGCCATTAGATTTTAATGTTTCTTAAAAACATCTTCTACAGTTCCATAAAAATGCCTTTCTTCTTCGTCCTCCAAATAAGTTGCAAAATTGTTAAATTACTCAGCTGAATTGCAACAATACAGTTCTGTGCAGTTGAGGTGTTCACATCTTGCTCAACAATATCGTTTTGAGTCCATGCTACTTGCTACGGCCAACACAGTGGCAGGGATGAGGATAGGAAGAAGACTGTGCTAGCAACAGCAGGAAGTTTGGTATTATTTAGTCGACAGTGGACAGATGCAATCAGGAAAAAGAAACTTGCCACTGGCCCCCCCTGCCCCCAAGTCTATGGCTTAAAGTAAAAATGGAGAGAAAAACATCCTGTACCACCATGTACATAAAGCTGAGATGATCAACAAACTCAAAATTAAACTCAAGTTTTTAAGGGTCCGGTCCCAGAAGAAAAAAAGCACATGCAGAACTACCAGCTACAGAATGGTCAATTTTTCCAAGTCCCCCTACCAGTTATGCAAACAAGGTTTTGAACTGGTCTCAAATCCCTTTCCCTTCCAGTATGTTCTTTCTAGAAGTAGAATGGGTTTGTTGCATGAAGATGAGAAGAAATGGATTTATGTATCTACAGCTACTAAAAAGCCTAAGGCAGCCTCCCTGTTCAGATATGCATTGTTTTGTTTACTCTTCATTTTTGCTGTCAATCTCATGAATCGTAGAAATAAAACCTCAAGCATCAGTATTTCTAGACTGGTTCTACCCCTTCAAGAGAACTGTGGGCTGCAGCTATCTGTTCCCTGTAGTGCAGAACTTACTCATTTCTTCAGTCATTTCCATCTTCATGTTTTCCTTCTGGAAATTCTGCATAGTTTGTAGTGTCTTTTGTGGGTCCATTTTCTTATTAACTGCTTGCATTGTCTATTAATAGTGAAAAACACCCCTTAATCATACAATGAGACATTAGTAAATGCCAATAGATACATTAAGAAGGAATAAGACTTTTCTAACAAAAAACCCTTCAGGCCAAATTTCACTTTCCTTGTCTCTTTACATCCCGTGAGAACTGTAGATACATAACAGATCAATAGTACAGTCTGCACCTAGCAAGAAATATTGCTATCTACTCCCTAATAGATATGCTTTTAAATGTATGTGTCTTTCTTGCACCATGACCCTTCTCCTGGCCTTATATTATGAAAAATCTGCCTGATCTAAATGAAAAGAATGGCACAGTCTTTCCTAACTTGCAGGTTATACACTTTAAAGAGGTAAATGGCTGCAGGTTTTTTATTCAGTAAGGAACATTTATTTGAACCACCACTAGAGGACAGGCATTAAATTGCAATTGTTTCTTTATGGTATAATTTAATGGAAAAATTACTTTTCTCTGAAAAGCAAACATCAAAGTGTTCAGGAAGTATATATTAGCTTAGGGTGAACCTTTGTAATGTGCAGAGATCTTTCTGTGATAGCGTAATAAACTTCATCTGTTTTACTACAAATATGCAGCACTGCCTTTGCAGGCACCAGTATTTAATATGTTCTTCTTTCCTAATAAGCAAGCTACTGTATCTCTCATGGGACATCAAAACCTAAGCATACACATGAGCAATTCTAACAAAGTCTAACCATCTTTGAGAAGATAAAAGAGTTGGTTAATTGAAAGGGATGCTGTCAAGCTACTACAGCCACTACTGGCTTCATAGAAGCTCTTCTGCCTTCATGTCTGAGTTTATTTAAAGTGGTAATGTATTATGCTTCTAATGTTACTTGAATTTCAAAGACTATGTCCGTAGTCATACTATTTGAATTTTAAAAATTGTTCTGGACTTAGAAGGTGTTGGTTCTTTAGAATTCTTTTACAAGAGTTATAGATGAACATCAAAAATATTTGCACTAAACTGATAGAGAGTTTATATATCCTCAGAAAATAAGGGTCAGATGCATGACTAAAAGAAACAGGTAACTATTAACTGGACTTTACTATGTCCAAAATTAGTGCCATACATGCTAAAATGTATACAGAAAATACTTTGAAAGCTTTGCATTCATGTATTTTGTCTTGCTTGTTGAGGTAACCGATTCCGTACATTTTTCACTGATGGTTGCATGAGATTGAGAATAGTTTGTAGGCTTCAAAATGAATGACTGAATACTTTTCTTTTATAAGCTTCCTGTGTTGATAAGGCAAAAATACTCACTTTAAAAGTGACCAAAAGAATTTAACACCTTCCTCTCCAATAACGCTACACAAACTAGTCCATAAAAGTACCTGCTGTGTTTCAAAACCCATCACTTTTCTGGACGGTGGTTAATTTTTTTTTTTTTTAATATTTTTGGGTTTTCTACTGACTTAACCTTCATAATTAGTCTAGTGACACTTTGGTTTTGAGAAATTTAATCCAAGATGTCTCATAGATAAAAAACAAGTCAACCATGTAACAATTAAAAAGCAAGACCAACTTGTTCACATCCAACACTGTTGGAGAAATACTGAATAAGCTGTTTAACTTGATCGGTTGCACAGTCAGACAAGCCCCCAAAACCCCCCCGCCCCTTTGTGGGTTAGTCATGGAGGATGGAAAGTTTGCCACAGAGCCACAGCTTTGTACCACTAAACAGCTGGTACCTGCCAACATACTGCTTCTAACAGATATCTGACAGCAAAGCCTTAGCAGTAATTACTTTCCACACTAAGTTGCGTTGCATTACTGTGTTTAACTGGCACATAACTGGATTTAACTTGGACTGTGATAAAAGAACAACTTGTCTATGATGATGTGAGCTAATTCTGTTTCCTACACCTCAAGCTGAACAATCCTCCTTGCCGAAAGCGAATTCCCTGTTTATCAATTCAGGGAAATAGGGGAAAGTTCACAACCAACTCAGATAACTGAGATTTTTCAGACTCTCTTATGAGATGAGATTCGTGAGAAAACTTAATGCAATACTGTTCCCTTAGAGCACAGAGAGTGAGAATGACAGGGAACTCCAGATCAGATTTCCTTAGGAACTTAAGATCTGAAGCAATAACCTACTTTTTGCACAAGCCATAAAGCTACTGTGACACACTGCCTTGATTTCCAGGCGAAACATGCCCTACTTTTTCCCCCATAAAAACTGCTTGTGACAAGATATACAGGAAAGACACTGTAGCAGCATGGTTTGGGTTTTTTTGATGTACTAAGAGTTCTTCCACTGTCATTAGAGTTTATTTTTATCATGCAAACATTTGACAAATGTCTAGCCCAAGAAAATATGCTTAGTTAGGTACTAACTGGCTGGACTGACTAGACAAAAATTTCATAATACGAATCAAATTGCATTTCTCTACTGTATCCTCAACTCCATTTGGGGTATTAAGCAGTAAGTTGTATCCCTTCTATTATCTTATACAAAATAACACAACTTAACTTTTGCAACAATATATTGTTTTTTAATGTAAAAGAGTATCTTGTAATGCCTTACTTTTGCTGTAGTTGACATAGCTCCTGCCATCTTCATCTGAGAGTTCATGACCTTTGTTTGAGTCGACATAGAAGTGACTTTAGAGCTAACAGCGTATGTTCGATTTTTCTGCTTCCTCAGTTGCACAAGCTGTTTTGCTAGCACTTTACAAGCTTCTTTGTTACCGGTCTTAGCCATTTTCTTTATTTCCAGTTCCTGTTAAAAAAAGGTATAAGATTAATTCTACAGAATTTTCATTCAAACAAAGACTATAATTAAGCCTTAACATTAATAATTGAATTCCAAAGGTTAACTATCCTCTTGATTTTTAAGACATTTAAAGTTACATAAATAGTCTTCCTTGCTTCTCTACCAAGGCTATTTAGCAGAAGAAATGCAATGCTGCTGTTATTTGACCAGAAGAAAAAAAAACACAACAAAACTGAATTATAGTATGGCAGCACACAGTTCCCCAAAAGGCTTCAACTTCTCCATAATGCCACATTCACTTACATGTGCACATTCAATTCCATATCTGGATAAGGAGTAACACTTCAAAAAAAAGCCACACACCCCAAAAATGAAGAAATTATTATGGCCAGCCAACTGTTAGTGCTGTGACTCTAATCATCTTTGATTTCTTGCATTCCCAGGGAATCAAACCACATCACCCATGGAAGAAGCTGGGACTTCATAGGTTCTTTTTAACACTTTTTTAGCCTTGACAGAATCTCATAACCTTTTTGGGGAAGAAGTAGATTAAGTTAGGTGAGCAATAATTATAGGCTGTTTGCCTACATAATTTTGCTGGACTTAACTTAGCACATAATAAAAGTGGTATAATTTGTCTACAACAACATGCGCTTAAACCCTAAGACAGACACTTCTGGCTTACAAAACCCCCCAAATCCCAACCTATCAATTTAAGGAGAAATAGCAAGTTATTTAGCCTGGAGGTACCAGGAAAAAGTTTGGCACAAATAATCTTGTCAGCTGGGATTTTTCAAAGTACGCCTTCTGATTTGTGACTTGGTAACGTAAACGTTTCAACTAACTTTTCCCTTTCAGCCTCTTTAAGGAGGGCTTGCCATAGTATCTCAGTTCTTTGTATATATCCAATTGCACATTTTGATTTTTTACCATTAAGTGAAAGCAGCCTTTAAAGACCAGCTTTCTCCTGTGATTTTTCAGAATATACCTGCTACAGGAATACGGTTGCTTCACTTTATGTACACTGATAGTCCAGAAAACTGCACTTATAAGAAGATATGTTGCTCTGAAAAGGTAAATACTGGCCCCCAGGATATGCAAAACAGTCATGTTTAAAGGCAAGTGTAAACTGACCCACTGCATTAGCCTTACTACTAGGAAAGACCATGGTTAAGGTTACTATAGAGATGGCACTGGCACAAGATCTCTGTAAATCCCTAATTTCTGAAGGTCTGTCATACATACTATTTTTAATGCAAGAAGGTACAGATGGGCAAATAAGGAGCACGAGACTGTTCAAACATTAGAGGTCTGAAATATATGTAGAGCTGTCTTCTTTGTAAGTAGCTCACAGAGACTGCAAAACCAAATTTCTATAGTGTACCCAGCATATCATCCCCTTTTTTCATACCTCAAGTATTGTGAAGGATAGAAGGGATTAGTTTGCACACTAGCAAACACTAGTTTGCACCCTAGTTTGCAACAGCAAACATTTGAAAATAGGGATTTTTTCCCCGAAATGAAATACCTAAGAGGCATTTATAACTTGATTTTCAAAGCTACATATAAACCTATGCCAAACATTGCTAAATTACTGCAGATAATCCAGCTGCAGAAATCAAACCCTATATATATATAGATGATTTTATTCTTAATTAAGTAGAATTTAGGTAAAGAGCTGCAATACATTATTTGCTTCTGAGAGGTTTGGGGCAAGCTTATTAAAGTCAGTTGTGTTCTTCTAGGAAAAAAAATAATCAAAATTCCTATAGTCATATGAGGTTACTGAACTGAAACAGAACTGTCTGCATATTTTAAGGTATTTTTATACATAGAATTAATATAACTAGGTTTTCTCAGAGTAGTACCTCATAGTTAAGGAAAAAAAGGTCTTTCTTCAGAAAGTACACAACAAAGTGTCCTGAGATTGACTGACAAGCCCTTGGTCCTTTTTCACCTGATCCAACTCTGAAAATTAATATTTATTGTCCATTGATTCTCTCACCCTAACAGCAAATTTTAACTTTTTCAAAGACATATTTCACTTCTCCTTTCTTCTTCTCCTTAGAAATCCAACATCTCTGAAACATTTTACTGTAGTAAGTAACCAAAATTTCAAGCTGAGTATTCATGAAAATTAAGGTTATTTCCAAAGTCAGAATATTTCATACTGAAAAATGCCTTATCCATGAGTAACCTATTATATCTTACATGCTCAAGGCTTCCAGAAACAATTTCTCTGACTTCTTTTAGTTTATTATTCCCAGCTCTCGGTATTCATGCGACCTGCTGCCATGAAACACCACCTCAACAACTACTGAAACAGTGGCTGGATTTGCATAGCTTTTCCCACAGTCTGAGCATGTCTTCATGCATCAAACCCCACCATCTGTCACATACATTTATCCAATTATACTGCCACACAGGTGCAGCATCCATTCACTGAATACTTGATAGCTCACACACACTAAGCTTTAGATAGATCTTAATTTAGGCAGATAGTTTTACTATTATTAGCTGGTTTTAGGGAAGTTCTATATGAATGAAAATAACAATCCTATGGGGTATTCATGACACCCTATGGTTTTTCAAGTACACTCTCCCACTGGAAAGTCATGGTAACATATGATAGCACAGACACTTCTTTTAGTTTTTCCACCATAAGACCACTGATTTACAAGCCTGTTAGAAAAAAACCTTCTGAAGGATAGAGAATGCAAAAAATGGAAGGGAAAAATGAATGCGGTTATTTAATCTAAACACATTGTTTCAGGTTTTTTCTATGTTAAAGACTGAGAATCACTTTTAGATAGCAATTTTTTTCCAACACAATTTTAATAACTGAAAAGTCAAAAAGGGGAAGACAACTTTTTTAGTATTCAATTATTATACATCAAGTTGCATCTTTAGCATTTTGCTAGTTTTCTGTTATATTGGGAGTGTGTGCTTGTTTTTAAAGAGTAAAATAAAATTCCCTGCTCTACTTACCAGCTGTTTTTCCTGTTTTTCAAGTGCTGCTCTATCTCTGGTTATAGCTCTCTGTGTACCTCTTAACTCTCGATTTTGCTCCTTTATTATATCTGGAAAGAAAATATTTATAGTTGGGAAAAGTTTTCAAAACTACATAAACATCTTGTCTGCTAAGCACTCTGTATGTTTCACAGCCTCCCTTTGATCAGAATGAACTGTTAGCTATCAAAGAACATCAGCATTTCAAATATACTAAATATTAGCAAAATACAATTTTATGTATACTACATGATTATGTTTCAGCAGCATAAGGCAGTATCCTGTAACAAAAAGGCTATTTTACCTAGTATGTTTCTTTGCACCATAACCATAGCAAAAGCCTTAACCACACAGTAAGAGTTAGGTACGTACACTCTTCTGCGAGTTCAACCCTAACTCGGCAATCCCATATTCACTGCGAGCCCACTGCTTTTCAACCAGTCAGGCCTCACTGCAACAGGTAGATCAGCTGAAGAAACCTTATATATATATAAACATATAAATATAT